GGATTGAACCCATGTCCCCTGCATTGGCAGGCAGACTGTTAACTACTGCAGAAGTCCTGCCTGCAAAGTTTCCTTCCCCTGGTCCTGGCGTGACTGATTCCCACCAGTCATTTAGTTCTCAAGGGGCACGTCACCTTCTCAGTTATGCCTTTCCTCACCACCCCACCTAAAGTAGACACTGAGTCACATCCCTGATCTTGAGAGCTGCCTGGAGGTCTTTCCACTTCTGCCGTTCTCCAATCTAGGGGCGATCAAAGCTTCCACAAGACTTCTGTGAATCCCTGATGACTGACTTCACAGGTTTTGGTCTCTGGTCCAGGGACGCCGGCCCTGTGTCCCACCTCTGGCTTTCAAAGACCAGATGGTCCCTTTTCTTAGCTCACTCAGAGTGACTTCATCCTTCCCCTTGAAATCTTACCCTAGTCTATCCCTGCCTGGAGAATTCCATGGACAGAGGAGCCTGGCAGGCTCCATGGGGTCACAAAGAGTCGGACGTGACTGAGAGGCTCTCTCTCTCTCTCTCTCTCTCTCTCTCACACACACACACACACACACACACACAGCTCTGTGCTGGAAGTGAGTAACCCCTCTCTCTCTCTCTCTCTCTCTCACACACACACACACACACACACACACATCCATGTATGTCCTGGGGGCATTTCTTGCCTTCACTGGGGTTGCAGACACATTTTCTAAACATGATCTTTTTCCCCGCAGGAGAGGGATTCTCGTCGTAGCTGATAACAGGATAGCGACATTTTACCGTCTCAGTTAAGAGACAGGGTTGAGATCTGAACCTGGATTTGCCTGCGTGTGGAGAAAATGCTTTTATTTTTTTAATTTAGCCTTTCTCCCCCCTGCATCTGTGGCCTGGGGGATCTAGTACCCCCACCAGGGGTCGAACCTAGGCCCTCTGCGTTGAGTGGAGAATTAGCTACTGGACCACCTGGGAAGTCCTGAGACAAAGTTTTTAAACCAGCATATCGACTGTGTCCCGCAGATCCTCATTCAGGCTGCTGACGACTCTCAGTGGTTGCCCGCACACAGGTGCGCACACGCGTTCTTCCCTACAGAGGGGAAATGCCCTTCTGGCTGGCTTCGGGACGTTGCCTCGAAGGCTGAATAACATTTCTTATGGGCCAGCCAGAGCTAGCTGCAGGACATCTGGTCATCTGGTCTAAATTCTCATGGCACACAGGGGGGATGGCATGCAGAGGGGATTCATGAGAGGGGATGTGCCGGCCAGGCTTCTAGACTCCGGGTAGAATGCTCCTTGTACTGCCCAGGGCTGCTTCCTTTTCCCCCTTCCTGTCCCACCCACTGGTCCCCTCATGTTGCTGTGTGTGGCCTTCACCCCTTTCTACCCTTTTCTCTGACAGATGAGTGGAAACCCTGCTATTCCAGGCCTTATTGTCCACCCGCTACCAGTCAGTCACCTTGGTTCCGCAAGGCTGACAGTCACATAAGCTGTCTAGGCATACATTAATGTGGATGAATCCCTTTGATTGATCAGACTGATCAGGGTTGGGAGACGCCNTCTCTGACAGATGAGTGGAAACCCTGCTATTCCAGGCCTTATTGTCCACCCGCTACCAGTCAGTCACCTTGGTTCCGCAAGGCTGACAGTCACATAAGCTGTCTAGGCATACATTAATGTGGATGAATCCCTTTGATTGATCAGACTGATCAGGGTTGGGAGACGCCTATGGATCAGAATGAGGAGATCTTTCCTGTGTGTGCGTCTGTGTGCATATGTGTTATGTTGAAAGCCAGGCATTTATCTACCTTGAAAAGATTAGGAATAGCCCTTTGATGGACATAGAAGGGGAAGGGGAGGGTGGGATGAATTGGGAGTTTAGGTTTGACATAAATACCATGACCATGTTTGAAAAATGACCATGTTTGAAATAGATAGCTAGTGGAAACCTGTGTAACACAGGAGCTCAGCCTGGTGCTCTGTGAGGGTGGGATGGGATTGGGGTGGGAGGGAGTTTCAAGAGGAAGGGGATATATGTATATGTACAGCTGACTCACTTCATTGTACAGCAGAACCTAACACAATGTTGTAAAGCAATTACACTCCAATAAAAAACAAATAAAAAACCCCAACAACAACAACAAAAACAAAACGGTTGATTGCACATGAGATAAATTACTTTTGGTTCTGAACCACTGGGAGTTTCTGGCAGTTTATTATTATGTGCTGGGATGAGAATTCGACTTTGTCTATAGATTTTTCAAGTAGATTTTTGGACTGACATCTCAACTCTGAACTCTTTTGATAGATTTAAAAAAAAAAAGACACATAATGACATTTCCATTCCAGCTTGCTAGAATCCTGGCCCTGGCCTGTGCTTCCTGTTTTCAGCCTCAGCTTGTCCTTCAGGCCTTTGAACTCGAGTTCACTGATTTTGACCCTGGTGCTGGCTAAGGACTTTGAAACCTCCTGCTTGGCTGTACACATGGAATGTGGTCTGGCTCCTGCATCAATCCAAGCCCTGCCACCTCTCCACGTTCACTCCAGCTCCTGCAAGCACAGGTCCAGCCTGGCTATGTTGTATCTGTTGGCGATTCTCTCATCCCTGGGCTGTGAGCTCCTGGAAGATGTTTGATTACAGTTAGCTTTGATCGCAGGAATCATGGACAGAAATCCCTGGATCCAGAAGTAGGAGCTCACAGACTGGGAGGGACGAGAAGGGAGCACTGACCTCTGTCCAGGACAAAGGGGGTTGGAGTCTGAGGCCCTTACCGGCCTCAAGCTCCTGCCTGGCCAGTGTGGTGATTGACAGGTCACTACAGGAGTTGAAGTGCTTTTGGCACAAATAACAGAAGCTAAGACCTGCTAACTCAAGCTCGTGTAAAGAAAAGGGGTTACCCAGACACCTGTGGACATATTAAAGAATGAACAAAACTGGGTAGATACATACAATGAAATATCATTCAGGCCTAGCAAGGAATGAAATCTTGACAACATGGATACATTTTGAAAACATTGTGCTACGTAAAATAAGCCAGTTACAAAAAGTCAAATACTGTATGATTCCATTTATTAAAGATACCTAGAGGAATCAAGTCCCTAGTGGCAGAAAGCAGAATAGTGGTTCCTAAGGGCTGGGGGGAGGGGGGAGGGGGAAGTTATTGTTTACAGGGAAGAGAGGTTTCAGTCTGGGGTGAGGAAGAAGTTCTGGAGGTGGATAGTGGTGGTGGTTGCACGACAGTGTGGAAGTAGTCAGTGCCACTGAATTGTACACTTAAATCCAGTAAAAATGTTGGGTACGTGTGAACACACAGCAGAACTGACCTAAACCAACAGAAGGTTATTGCAGAGGTGCTAAATGCCACCTTGGTCCTTTAGGAATTCAAACAAGCAAACAAAAGAAACAGGAATAGTGGGAAGAACACTGGGGCATCTCATGGAACTGAGGTTAGCCAAACCTCCAAGCCTGGAGGAGGGACAGGGCAGCTCCGGGGGCTTCCGTGGACGAGTTCATAGCCCTCTTCCCTTGGGACAATGCCCGAGTGCTGGTTTCTCAGGTCCGAAGTTCATCTAAGAGAGAGTCTGATTGGTCAGCTGGAGTCAGGGGGGCGTCTGGGTGGGTTAGCTTCAGTTGGGGTGGGGGAGCAGGGAGGTAGGATGATGTAGTACCACTGGGGGCCACTGGGGGCAGGCTTGGGTCAGTTTAGCAGAATCCAAGTCATTGGAAGACCAGACTTCCCAGTGATCGCTTCACCAAATTCGTTTCTCTAATTATATAGCTTTAGTTGCCTGATTTTGCTTTGCCTTCACACCACCATTTTGGGGGAATGTTAGATTCTGTCTGAGTCCACTCCCTATTGTTGAGCTGGGGACAGAGAGGTAGGGAGTAGGGGGGAAAATACTCCCTGTTTGGAAAAAAAGTAAAGTGAAAGTGTTAGTCACTCAGTTATGTCCTACTTTTAGTGATCCATGGACTGTTACCTGCCAGGCTCCTCTGTCTATGGAATTCTCCAGTCAAGAATACTGGCGTAGAGTGCCATTACCTTCTTCAGGGGATCTTCCCTAACCCAGGAATCAAACCCAGGTCTCCCGCATTGCAGGCAGATTCTTTACTAGCTGAGGCACCAGGGAAGCCCCCCCACTTCTGGCCTTGGTGCCATGTAAAAGCTACAGTTCCCCAAATGGAGAAATTTCTTGGGGGAATGTGGAGAAGACCCTGAAAAAACTGAGACTGAGTTTCTGCCATCCCAGTAGAAATCCTTTCTGGCGGGGAGTTACAAACAAAGTTGGCAATAAAGGAAGTTGTGTTTGTTGAACGGTTGAATTTCGGACCAGGATTTTTACCCCCAGCCTAGCCAAATGCCCTTCCCCATCCTACAAAGCTTACAGTGGGAGGGACCTAGGGATTGACACCTCCTCTTTTGTTTCAGCACCATCTGCACCCACATCACCCTGGGGAAGACCCAATATCGGGGAATTCAGCAAAGCCTCAGCAACAGGAAAGAAAATCGTTAGCATTTGACTATTTCTATAAGAAAAGTTCAGGTTTTCTTGTTTTTGTTTTTAATTTTTATTTATTTGGCTGCCTTGGGTCTCAGTTGTGGCATGAGGGATTTTTTTAGTTGCAACATGTGGAATCTAGTCCCCTGACCAGGGATTGAACCTGGGCCCCCTGCACTGGGAACACGGAATCCTAGCCACTGGACCACCAGGGAAGTCCCAAAAGGTTAGGTTTTAAAAGAAAAGCATAAAGGAAGAAAAAAGAGATCTAGAAAAAGGATAAGGGTGGACAGGAGAAGTCGAGTCCCGTGAGTCTCTTAATGAGTGGGAAGCCAGGGAGAGCCAGAGGTGGTTTGGCTGTTGGGAAGTGGGACGTGATCATTCAGGACGGGCTGGTGCACTGGAGGGAGGTGAGGGTCTGAAAGCAGGACAAGGAGGAGGATGTGAATGTGCTGTGCTGAGCGTTAAGAATGTATCCCTGCCCTCCTCTCTCAACCTTGGCATTTCCTCCGGAGACTGAGAATATATTCGAAATGCTTTACTTTTTTGAATCTCTGGCCTGTTTCTCTGAAGGCGACTCTTGTCATTCAGACCACAAGGTTGCCTATGTTTTCACAGGGTTACACCTTCCCCCTGTCGAACTTGGGCTCCGTTGGAGGCCTGATCACCACGACGAGCTGTGGATCTGGGCTTGACCTTCCTCCCATCTAGTGATGTTAACTTAGGCCAACCTCCTGGAAGGCCGTAGAGGAAGCCTGGGATCCTTGATGTACTCTTGGACCCAGTCGTCATTGGGGTTGGTACAGACCTCTCGTTTCCGCTTGGTGATGAAGCTGTGGGGGCAGAGTTAGACCGTCAGGGGCCCCGGAGCAGTTAGGGGTGCTGTCCACACGCCCCCACTTCTAGCTCACCAGGGGCTTGCCTCACGTCCTGTACCACCTCCCTAAGCCTCCCCCGGTCTGGGTCCCCTCAAAAAGTGCCCCCTCCCCCCGGCCTCTAGACCTCATCTCTTCTTTCAGCCCTTCTCCATTCAGCCTAGACCCTCAGGCTTGGGTTCCTCTATGGCCACCATTTCTTGGACCACGTGAACCAGTCACGTGCCTCTGTAAGTGGCAAAGCCTAGAACAAAACCCAGGCCTGTCCCGTGAGAGCCAAAGTCCAGGCCCTTAACTGCTGTGCCCTGTTCTAGCATGGAGACTTGGTTCTGTGTGCCCCGATCCAGCCTTGGGCTCCCCTTCCCTCTCCCTGTAAATGTCTGCAGGACCGTGCTTACATGATTGCTGGCAGGTTACAGTTGAGGGCCTGTCTGTATCCCACCACCAGTTTTCTTGGCAATACTTTCTCATGATACTTCAGGCAGCAGGTGGGTGGGTGGTTCACCGACTCAGGAATTTCTGAGGGAATGACGTTGAAAGCTGAGTTAAGAAGGCAGAGAGAGAGAGCCCGTGGCTGCCCACCTCCATCTCCCCCATCTCTTGCATTTTGTCCATTCTTCTGACGGCAAAGCCCACTGTCAGTAGGGACTGATGGTAGCTTGATGAGTAACAGACAAGTGAAAAAGATGAATCTTCTGTAGATCTTTCTGCCTCTGGACTGAGCTTCATCAAGTACAAAGGACTGGGGGATTCACATTTGCTGATGAACTTGATTGGGCAAACATGTATTGAGCTCGTATTAGAAGCCAGGCTCTATGGAAGTTAGAACGTGTGGAAGGTATAGTCATGACTCTTGGGTACCTTAGAGACCAGCCTGGGTGAAAAAGGAAAGCAAAAACATAAACACTACAATAGAATGTGGTCTGGGATAGAGTAGAATTTGCCGCAAGGGGCTATGGGAACAGGACGAGGAGCACCTCACTCAGCCTGGGTGGTTGAGGAAGAAGTCCTGCTGCAGGTGGTGTCTGAGCTGATTCCTGAAGGACGAGCAGGACTTAGGCAGACAGAGGGGTCAGGGGATCTGGAAGAAAGAAATATATGGAGGCCTGGGGTGGGGGAAGCCCAGCGTGTCTGGGAGGATGGAGCAGTTCCAGGAGCCGCAGAGCAAGGTGGGAAGGAAGAAGTAGCAAGAGGATATTCAAGAGGAAGAGGAGGCCTACCCCTTCTGAACTGTGTCGGGGAGCCTGGATTCTGTCCTAGAGTCACCAGAGAAGCTGAGGTCGGGGGGAGGCTGAGATAGAGGGATGAGCAGGAGAAGTCAGATCAAGGGGGAAAAGCTTGTATTTAAGTTTTGGGGCCAGATAGCATGGGTTGGAGTCTTGACTAAACGACTTGAATCACGGGCAGATTTCTTAACTTCTCTAGATGTCTTCAGCCATTAAATGAGGGTAAAAAAGCTCCATCCTACACAGTGGGGAAAGGAGAAGGCAGGATGAATTGAGAGAGTGGCATTGACATATACACACTATCATGTGTAAAATAGATAGCTAGTGGGAAGCTGCTGTAGAACCTAGGGCGCTCAGCTAGGTGCTCTGTGATGGCCTAAAGAGGTGGGTTGATGGGTGGGAGGGAGGCCCAAGGGGGCGAGGATGTATGCACCCATACAGCTGATTCACACTGTTTACAGCAGGAACTAACACAACATCGTAAAACAATTATTCTGCAACTAACAATATATCCCATGATATACCATAATGAAACAATATTTAAAAAGAGTGCATACACACGTATATACATGTATAACCAAATCACTTTGCTGTATAACAGGAATTAACAACATTGTAAATCAACTATCCTTCAATAAAAATAAACCAATAATAAGAAAAAACAGTTATGTCCTAGGATCGTGGTGAGGATGAGTTGAAAAAATGCTTGTAAAACCCTTAACTGAGTCTGGGGTAGAGAGTGTCAGTGCTTCTGATTAAGAGCTGATGGTAGGGAGAATGGATACATGTGTACGTATGGCTGAGTTCCTTCACTGTCCACCTGAAACTATCGCAGCATTGTTAATGGCTGTACTCCGATACAAAATAGAAACTTTTTCTTTTTCTTTTTCCAAAGAGCTAATGGTAGCAATGGCCACTCGACTGGCCTGGAAAGTGCTCTCTCTCCCTCTCTCTGACACTCCCAGGAGGCCAGACTTGGTTGGTTGGTAGCGCTGTGTCTCCCTTGAGCTGCCCTGACTGCTCATCATTCAAGGATATCACCTTCCCCAGCCCCCAGACCTGCAGAGTGCAAATCCCTGACGCTTGCGTCCAGTAGGTGGCAAAGCTTGAGACGTCTCCAGGGCACCATTTGGCTGACTCATGCACTGGCTGGGCCATTTTTCTTCCTGCCTGACCTTCCCAAAGGGCACTATTGCCCCCTCCCACTCTCCTGACTGCTCATCATTCAAGGATATCACCTTCCCCAGCCCCCAGACCTGCAGAGTGCAAATCCCTGACGCTTGCATCCAGTAGGTGGCAAAGCTTGAGATGTCTCCAGGGCACCATTTGGCTGACTCATGCACTGGCTGGGCCATTTTTCTTCCTGCCTGACCTTCCCAAAGGGCACTATTGCCCCCTCCCACTCCCAGGAGGCACCTCTACCCATTGTGACCCTGGTTCTCTAAGGTGATGTTTACAAAGACCAGGGGCGTCCTGAGAGTATGTGGGCAGATTACATGGTATGTGTGACCCTCGCTCCCATGAGTGATCACAAAGGCGGAATCCAGCCAGACTACGTGCCAAGGGCAGCCTTAGGTAGAAAGCAAGGGCTGGGGCCATTGAAGGCAGGTATGTACTGGGAGATGGTCTGAGTCTCTGGTCCCTTGCCTGTCACCAGTCCTCATAAACGCTGGTAGAGGCAGAGCCCATGCATCCGTCTCATGGTTCCAAAACCTTTCAATCTCCTTCAACCCCTTTTCTCTTTTCTACAAACATTTTTTAGCCCTAGGCTGGGAGATGGAGATAGGGGTCCAGAAATCCTCAAATGGCACATGTGGGCATCCCATTGGGGCATCTCTTGGTTGCCATGGTAGTCCCAGAAATCTACAACAGACCCTGCCCGCAAGAGGTGTCTAGCTTCAGACCCCCTGTCCTGGGCTTAGCCCCAGATGTCCCTCTACCTGCCTCCCTGACTCCCTCCATGCTGCCCTGCCAGAGCAGGCGTAGCTTCTCCCACCCACTTGCCTCGCCTTCCTCCTCATCACAGACGTTTGTGATCGTCCCTTCTGCTCCTTCCTTGGCTCTTCCTAAGTGATCACTCCTGCTGTGTCCTCAGGACTCCTGATGTGACCTCCACCCAGCTTCCTGAAGCTGCCCAACCCCAGCAGCTCTGGACCACAGCTCAGCTCTGCTTACAAGGGGCCGGTGCGCAGGAGCTATGGGTGCAGGCGGGGAGGGGGCCTGGGGCTGATGGCAGAGTCCTGAGAGCACTCTTGGCATCACCTCGCTGCCCGCTCCCTGTTCAGCTTCCTCACTGCCGGCCGCCAAGGACGGGTGGACTCACTTGGTTGGCTGTGAACAGCAGAAGTGATGGTGAGGATGAGGAGAGAGAGGGCAGCCATGGAGACCTTCATCCTCTCAGTGGGCAGTCAGGCTCCAGAGGAGGCTGGGCGGACACAGTCTCTTTCCTTGCTGATCATCCACACGGGGCCCTCAGCTTTCTGGACCCTGATCACTCCAGAGTGGGTGGAGGAGAGACAACAGTCCTCCCCTGGTGTTTGCTGAAAGGGAGGGCAGTGGAGGGCAGGGTCTGGTGCCCAGTGAGTTTGCTAATATTTGCATATCTGTCTTCGGGAGGCCGACAGAAAGCAGGGTTAGAGAGAACACAGACTGAGACAACACAGTCTGTACAGGGTTTAGTGATCTTGGAAAAGAATGTCCCCCTCGTTCCCTGTCCAAGGACACACGATGGAACTCACACTTTCTTGTCTCAGATTATGCTACTAATACTCTCCAGTTCCTCAAGTGCTGGCTCTTCATGTCCCTGTTTGCTGAAATGTTTGTCTCATTTGTCGATGCTCTCATTTACCTCTTTGGACCTTGGACTGGGAACCAGTTTCAGGTCTAATCGGCTGATCCCTCCTGGATGCCCTCGTGCGTGTGGGTGAAGTCTCTTCAGTCATGTCTAACCAGTCATGTCTAACTATCTGTGACCCCATGGACTGTAGCCCGCCGGGCTCCTCTGTCCATGGGATTCTCCAGGCAAGAATACTGGAGTGGGTTGCCATTTCCTCCTCCAGGGGATCTTCCCGACCCAGGGATCGAACCTGGGTCTCCCACATTGTAGGCAGACGCTTTACCGTCTGAGCTACCAGGGAAGCCCCTGGGTGCCCCTAGTGTGGGTTAATCCAGTCTGCCATCGTGGCCAATCTTGGCCAGAAGAGGGCCGTCCAGCACAGTGAACCTGACAACCTGCTTCTGGCTCCCAGAGTTCCGGCTTTTGCCCTTGGCTTTGGCTAAAGCTGGGCCCGCTGCCTCAGGCTTCCCTGGTGGTAAAGAATCCGCCTGCAATGCAGGAGATGCAGGTTCGATCCCTGGGCTGGGAAGATCCCCTGGAGGAGGGCATGGCAACCCACTCCAGTAGAGGAACTTGGTGGGCTACAAAGCGACTTAGCGTTGGCCCACAGACCTGCCCCTCCGTATCTTCTCTCTTCAGACTGCCTCAGAGCCCTATTCCAGGCTGAAGGCAGCTTTCAGAGAAGAAATGAAAGAGGGGATTTGATCTTTGATGGACTGTGACCTCTAGAGGCATGAGGGAGTGTTTCAGGAGATGGGAGTTGTGGGGGCGGGGGGCAGGCATGCGGAAACAAGGGTGTCGAAAATCCTTGTGGGTCTTGCTGTTTGGCAAGTTTGCTTATAAAATAGGGAAAAACGGGCAATGTAATTAGTCCTGGTGGGCTCAAGGCTGTTAGTGATGGTAAAGCTGTGGCTTTACCGCAGGAAAGCCTGCTGTACCTTTGCTGTGCAGGCACCCTCTTGGTCTTTGTGGAGGGCTGGAGGCCAGAGAGAGTGGTCATAGTGTCTGCACTGGGCATGCTCTTCCTCTGTGTATGCAGAGCTCCTTGAACCTGGAAGATGAGTCTGAGAGCCTTTGGGGTCAGCTGGCACACAAGCTTCCTCTTGGTTCCTTTCTCATTCCGTCTATCCACCCATCCAGGAACCATTCATCCACCCATCTATGCATTCATCCATCCACCCATCCATCCACCAATCTATCCATCCATTTATTCACCCACCCATTTATGCACCATCCATCCATCCACAATCCATTCATCCATTCACTCATCTATGCATTCATCCATCCACCCCTTCATCCACCATCCACTATCCATCCATCTATGCGTGCATGCGTCCATCTATCCATCCATCCATCTATCCACCCACCCATCCATCCACCCATTCATCCACCACCCATCCATCCATCTACCACTCATCTATCCATTTCCTGAGCACCTGATGTGGGCCAGACTTTTTGCTATGCCTTGTGCAGTACACAAAAATGAATAAAACAATATAGTACAACCTGATGTGTGTATGTGGATGGGGAAGAATTGGATAAAATATGTCCATGAATCATTCCTATCTTAGTCAGCAGGGGAACAAAGGCCTTGGGACCAGCACAGAAAAAGACTATGGAATTTGACTGCTATAGAGAGGCCTTTATGAAGATTTAGCTGCAAAATCAAACTTTCCTTGTGAAGCTTAAATAAATGGATGCACATAGACTGTTTAGCAGAGTGCTTGGACTATGGAGGTGCTGCAAAAATGGTATCTGTTATTGCTGTGGTTATTACTGTCTCAAGGTAGCCTTTATACAGAGTGTCTTCCTCACTTCCTGCTCAGTTTCTCTCTACCTCACGGCAGGCCTGACCCTTTTTTTTTTGCACCAGGCTTTGGCCAAACTTCTGCAGAGTTAAGCATGAGGCTGAGGGTGCCACCATGAGCGGGCTCACCAGTGTCCTCAGGTCCAGTTCCAGCGGGGAAATTTAGTAGAAATGAATGAGGGCAGGGAAGGGCCTGACTGCTCTTTAATTCAAGTTGGGGCAGCTCTCAGGAGGTGGCTGGGGCTGAGTTGGGAGGAGGGGAGTGGGGTTCAGCGCCCTCTCTGTAAATCCCGAGCTGTGTCCTTCTCCGTTACTTCTGGGTCACTCCTCCAGTTCCTTGATATAGTCCCTGACCCAGCCATCATGGGGGTTGGCACAGACGTAAAGGCCCTTCCTGGTGATGAAGCTGTGGAAGGAGATGGGAGAATGATGACCAACTGAGGCTCCGGCAGCCAGGAAGCGAGACCCAGTCCTTCCTTCTTCACAGATTCCTCATCCCGCCCGGACTGGTTCTCCTTCCTTAGTTAGAGGGAGCCCAGGACCAGCGTCTGTTCTGAGATGTATCCTTCAGNTGTAGCCCGCCAGCCTCCTCTGTCCATGGAATCCTCCAGGCAAGAATACTGGAGTGGGCTTCCCATTCCCTCCTCCAGGGGATCTTCCCTGACCCAGGGATCAAACCCAGGTCTCCTGCATTGCAGGCAGATTCTTTACCAGCTGAGCCACCAGGGAAGCTATGTTGTCATGAGCCCCCCAGCTTTAAACTGGCCAGCTCCCTGACCCCACATTAGATAAAAATACCCATCCTACAGCATCCTAACCGATCACGTAATGCCACCCTTCTAGCAGGAAGTTTCTTTGTCTTGAGGCTATAAAAACTGGCTACCAGCCCATGAAAGGCACTGGCTCTGTCTTGAGCCAGCCCTCTGGTCTAACAGCGTCTCCTGCTCTAATAAACTTTACTCTCCTCTCACTGCCTTGTGTCTGGAAATTCCTTTCTAACCTGCACATAGACCATGACAATCGCCACCCCACCCCCAAAGGACTGGCTGATGACTTGAACCCTGCATGGAAGAGCAGTAAAGCCCAGATCTCAGTGAGCACACGGCGTCCCTGGGGAGAAGGGATATTAGGGGGAAAAAATCCCAATATCCCTCCCAGTGCCCCCATCCTGCCTGATCCCCACTGAACCCACGCCCTGCCAAGAGGGCAGAATGCCCACACCAAGCCCCGCAGACAATGGCCAGGGAGCTAGGACTCCCAGCTCTAACCCCACCCAGTCTCTGCTGGCTTTGTGCCCATCACCCCCCACATCTCCTCATCTGTGAACAAGGTGGTTGACTGCATTGGTGGTTGACTGCATTTTACACACAGCTTCCTGGAGGCACAGAGGCACTTGGGGGCTGAGGAATGGGTATAAGACCCCATCTGCCTTTTTCCCCCTATTTTACATTTTGGGCCTCCTGTGTAAGATTTTGCTGGAAGAAAAGTTTTCCTGATCTAAAACACTTACAAAAAAATCGCTGTACTTTTCAGTTATTTTTTGATTCTGAGATTTCTTGGCTCTTGTAGGAGGTGCAAGGGGGTGACAAGAAAGTCACTCCAAGATTGAATTGCAGGGGCAGCAGGGGAGGGGGTTCAGGACAAGGGCCTTGCAGTTAGGGGGTGCAGTGATTGGGGCTGTCATGTTATGTGACCGACCTGGACAGAAATGTGGGTGTGCACAGCGATGGCCTCGGGCTCACCAAGGTGCGTGGGTGGCAAGGGAAGGGCTGGTCGTCTTATTCAGTGCCATCCCCAGCAGCTCTCCCACCCCCTAAAGAGTGGAATAAGGGACCCCCTGGTCCCTGAGAACCACTGTCACTGCATTCCTCTGAGCTGATCAGTGACTCCTCAGATAAGCAAAGCAGACTGTCCCCATTCTGCCCCGTTTAGTCTAGCTTTATTTCAACAGCCTTCTATGTTTCCCCCGAGATTCTAAAAAGGAAACGAGGTAAATTTGCAGAGTGAGGCATAGCTTGGGTTGCCTGTAAAGGCAGCGCATCCTAAGAAACAAGCTGAAAGATGATGGCCTAGGAGACCTCTCCCCAGCTGCTGCTTTCCCCGGTACATGCCTAAGGGACGCTGCACTCAGTGGGGTAGGGAGACCCTGGAAGCAGCCTGGACCCAAATCCCAGGGGGTGAAGGGACAAGCTGGCCTTGAGGGTCCCAAACACATCTCCCCAGTCTCCTGGGCGATAATGAGGCCAAATGGGATGGGCCAGTCTTTAGTTTAATGGCAAAGAGAGAGGAATGGAGGGAGTGAAGAGGTAACCTGGCCTCACTGCATGGCGTTGGCAGGGAGGGGACTGGTCCTGGGCAATGTGAGGATGAAACCAGTTTAAGAGGACACCAGACACAATGGAATACTACTCAGCCATAAAAAGAATGAAACATTGCCATTTGCAGCCACCTTGTTGGCCTTGGATGGTATTATGCTAAGTGATTCCCTGATAGCTCAGCTGGTAAAGAATCTGCCTGCAATACGGGAGAATCAGGTTTGATCCCTGGATTGGGAAGATGTCTTGTAGAAGGGAAAGGCTACTCGTTTCAGTATTCTGGCCTAGAGAATTCTACGGACTATATCCACGGGGTGGCAAAGAGTAAGACATGACTGAGTGACTTTCACAGCAATATAACATGCTAAGTGAAATAAACCAGACAGAGACAAATAAACACAGTATCATATCCTTATATGTAGAATCTAAAAAACACAACACACAAATGAATAGAACAAAAAAGAAATAGATTAACAGATATAGAGAACAATAGTGTTTACCAGTAGAGAGAAGGAAGGGGGAGGGGCAAAGTTGGGCTAGGGGATTAAGAGGTACAAACAATTAAGCATAAAATCAGCCACAAGGATACATTATACAACACAGGGAATACAGTCAATATTTTATAACTGTAAACTGAATA